ACTAGATAATGGCTTTCCTGTAGGACTCCGACTGGCATTACCCAGCCTGACAAAGCTTCCCCGTCATCAATAAGGCTGGCTTTTGTGTTGCTGCTATTGCAATCTATAGTCTAAGAAGCAGATTCATTCACAAGGAAACAGACAGCTACTAACCAGTAGATGGGAGGCAACAAATAATCGCGTATTAATACATTATTTATCGCCTCTTCAGTTCGAACATTCTTCTTGAGCAGCTCATCGGTCCAGCCATGCTGAACGCCTCTTATTCACTTGCTGCCGTATCAGTCCAGACAATAAAGCCGTCCTGATCCTCCTGCGGCAGTCACTGATTACCTGAGCACTTTTGGGGTTTTGCCTTTAGTATTCTGTTTGGAGCACTCTCTTTCTGGGCCAAGTCATTTCGGTGGGTGGAAAACAACCTCCTTTTGGGCTCAAGCATACATGGCATTCTGTATGTTGAGGGGACGTGGGTTTGAACACAGGCATGCGTATGAACTCCCAGCATTCAGGGGAGACATATTTGGTGCGTCGTTAGTGGAGATGAGTGTGACTTGGCTTTTGCAAATGTTTCCTTTGTGGCTGGAAACTCTCCAAGACCCAGCTAAGGCTTTGTGTCCCTGGAGCAGGGCTGTGCCCACCCTGGCCATTTTCAAAGTGCTGGAGGTTGGCCTGGAACCAAGCATCTCAGGCTTATTAAAGACCAGGGTTCTTTCCACTGCCACGGTGGATAGTGTGGGGTCATTACTATGCTGAAGTAGTTAGGACCGCCATTTATAGAGCTACCTGTTCTTATCTGAGAAGAGACCCTTTATGCGTATGCAAATGTGTATGAAATGCCTGTCTGTATCCTAGCCAAACATTAAAAAAAACAACAACAACAACTTTTAAATTACCTAGATTGCAGTTACAAAATGATGCCAGCAACAAGCACTGACCTCAGGTGGTCTGCACCCACAGGCTGTTTGGCTTTGTTCTTCTATAGCAGCTAAAATTCATTATCAGCACTTCTGTCTTGGAACCATTTACACTAACACAGGAAATACGGCGGCATCTCTGGAGAGGTCAGGCTTGGTCACACTGGCTCATGGCCACAAGTGAGCAGATTTGAGTGACAGCTGTCACTTTGAGTGGACCCGAGCACTTCAGTTCCCCAGTGTCCCCAGGGCTCCCTTTGATTTTCACCTCCAGCCCATTTCAGCCACTTAGTGCTGTCTATCTGGCAATTACAGCATCTGAAATATTTATTTAATTTCTGATGGTATAAATCACGTACGTGGAAAGTGCGGCAAGCAGCGCAAAGGGAGTTTGCCGTGAAAATGAGGACAGCCGCTGCCTTGATCTGTGGTTTCCCTAGGTGGCCACTGTTGCCGGTTTCTCGTGTCTCTTTCTAGTGAGAAAGGCTATGATTCCATACGGTAAAGACCCCCCACCCAAAACTCAGAGCCGACAGACAGTATTCAGCCAAGTGGCAGGATACAAACCCAACATACAAAACCCAGTAGCCTTCCTACATTCCATGCCAAACACTGAAAAAGAAACCAGAAGTGATCCCTCTACAGTCGCCACACACACAAATCAAACGCCTGAGAATAAACCAACCAAAGAAAAGAAAGACCTCTACCATTTTGAGAGACCTGAAAATATTAAGACACTGAAGACAGGAATCAAGGAGGCCGATAGAAGGAGAAACATCCATGCTCGTGGATTGAGAGTAAACAGGATGAAAACGTCCAGCCTGGCGAAACAATCTACAGACCGGACGGCAGCCCAAGCTAGGTCCAAAGTCGTTCTTGACAGACAGCAAAAACTATCCCTAAACTTATCAGGAGGTAGACAGGACAAGGACAACCAATGCAATCTAAACAAAATAAATGCTGCAGGAGGTATGACTGCACTGGCTTTTAAATTATACCGCTGAGCCATAACCATGAAGCAGAAAGATGCTGGCAGAGAAACAGACACAGGGGCGGATGGAATAGATATGAGGGCCCAGGTATAAGTCCACGAGATTACAGCCACCTTATTTTCACAAAGCTGCCTAAAATACACTCTGCAGGAAAGACAGGATCCATTCTGCCACACGATGCTCTCCGGGGTCCAACAGCCGGATGCCTATCAGGTCTGGGGGAGCAGATGACCCTTCCATCATGCATGGTACACACTGTCAGCTTGATGGGCTGGCTCAGCAGCGAGGGCCAAAGATTACAGGAGCATGGAAGCTGAGTTTCTAGTCCAGCCCTTAGTGGTTTTAAGAGTTCTAGGTTTATAAACAAAGCTAGATACAGAGAAATTAAGAAACAACTCCACATTTTACCGAAGAACAAATCGATTGTGCCAAAACCTCGGGTAATGTCTGTATTCTGATTGTACTTGAGGTCTGCTCCACAGGAGGGAATTTCAAGTCTGGTACTGTGACCCTAGTCAAGAGCCAATGGCTTAGGAGGTCACAAGTGCAAGGGTAAACCCTACTATTGCTATTTTGCTAAATGGCCATTCTATCAAGTGGTTTTCTGAATATCTATGTTTATGACACAGACCCAAGCTGCTCTTAGCCTTGCAGTAGGTAGCAGCTAATAGAAAGATGCAGAATTGGTCAAACTGCTGAGAATTAGAGATTGGGGGTTTGTCTTAGGTAGGGGTCCATAGCTGTGGAGAGACACTGTGGCCACCACAACTCTTAGAAGGAAAACATTTCACTGGGGTGGCTGGCTTACAGTTTCAGAGGTTCAGTCCATGATCATCATGGCGGGGAGCATGGCAGTGCACATGCAGGCGTGGCACTGAAGAAGTAGCTGAGAGTTCCACGTCTTGCAGGCAGCAGGGAATCAACTGAGACACTGAGACACTGTGCAGTATCCTGAGCATGGGAAACCTCAAAGCCCACCCCCACAGTGACACACCTCCTCCAGCAAGGCCATGTCCACTCCAACAAAGCCCCACCTCTTAATTGTGTCACTCCCTGTGAGATTATGAGGGCCAATTGCGTTCAAACTACCACGTGGTCTATAGATGCTGGAGGCACCACATGGTAATTAGTCAAGTTTTATGCCGGAGACTAGCAGCAGCAGGCCTTTCACAGGAGAAAAGACCTCTGGGGATAGACGAGCCTTTGGTAGTGCGATAGTGCTCACAGTCACAGGTGGAGGGGAAGTACTACTTTGAATGTTCTCAACACGGAGAAACAATGACGGTTTGAGGTGATAGAATGGCAATTATCCTGAGTAATCATTGCAGATATTGTGCCTTGGAAATAGAACACATCAACAGAGGGAAGGGTGAGTTAGAGACATGTTTTCTCAGCTATCTGGGCATCTATGAACCCAGCCAAGTCAACATATCCAATCATCACAGACATTAAGAAACAAGAAGTAGGGCCAAGGGGCAAACAGCAGCTGTTGCTTACCTGGAAGGTTCTCGGGATTCAGAGCCACAGACTTGGAACCTGCAGGAATCAGAAAGCTCGGGGCCAGAGAAAAAGGGAATAGCATGCTATGGCTATGAATTCCGTTGTCCCAGCTGACCCACTCAAAACTTAATGTCTGAAGAGCTGGGGTCTAATTATGGTCACCGCTACCAAGGCCAGAGCTCAGAGAAGGTGGGCTTGTCCCGTCAGGCTTTGAATAATGAGACCTTCCTAAAGAGAAAGGTGGAGACCCTTTTAGAAAGAGAAATTTGCATGCTGGACAGAAGAAATAAACAGAAGTAAGCGTCTGGCCTCTTCCTGCCATTGTCTTAACTGCAGTGAGTAGAGCTGCCTGGAAGGTCATCTCTATTCAAAAAAATGAGGAGGAAGAGATTTAAAAAACCCAAATGCACGAATGTGTCTATTGTTCACTGCACAAGTTTTACAACAGACCCTTAGTCACAACAAAAATATCCAGTTTGACTCGTAAATAAAAATGCAAAGTGAGTGAGACTCGAACATCCCGTTTTCCTTGTCATTTTAGCAAAAGTCCCCAGTGATTTCATCAACTGCTAATCTAGTTGTTAGAATGAAGGTGTTTTATAGACATGACTAAAAGACTGGCCCGTGACTTCAGGACTGAGCTGGTGGGGTGGGCCTGCTTTGGCCAGGTGAAATGTCTGAAGAACAGAATTAAGGTTTCCAGGGGAAGAAGAAAGTTTCATATGTAGACAGCAGCTTCCGCTGGTGCCTAGGAATTTCCTGCTCCTCTTCACAGCCTGCCCTCAGATGTGGGGCTTGTCTAGCCAGTTCCCACATTGTATAGGTGGTCCTTTGCAAGAAACTATATATATATATGTGTGTGTATGTATATGTATGTGTATGTATATATGTATAGATATGTATATATGTGTGTATATATATGTATATATATGTGCTAACCAACATATAAGATACACACACACACACACACACACACACACACACACGCTAGTTCCATTTCTCTGGTGGTGCAGGGACTGACTGACCTCATAATCAACTTCTTATGATGTTTGATAAGTAATAGAACTCTACTAAAGAATAATATTGGGAGTCTGAAGAGAAGGGTCAACTATTAAGAACACTGACTGCTCTCCTAGAGGACCTGAATTTGATTCCCAGCACCCATGTAGTAGCTCACAGCCATCTGTAACTCCAGTTCCAGGGAATCCAAAGCCCTTGAAGTCCTCTTCTGGCTTCTTTGGGCACCAGGCATACACATGGTACACGGACAGACATGCAGGCAAAACACCCATACCCATAAAATAAAAATAATCAATTTTTTAAAACCTTAAAAGTAATCATGCTGAGAATGTCTTCTCATTCCACATAGACTCCGTGTTTAGCAAGATCTCTTCCTTGTAAAGCTGGGAGCCCTGTTAGGATTAGCAACAGGTTGTTAAGATGGGCCAATAGGGGTACTTGCTTCTGTGCCTTGCCAGCCAGGCCTAGAATTTAACAATGGCCCTGACGTGTTCATAAACAATTGTTTCACAAACAGAAAGAGGGGCCCTGAGAGAGGAAGAAAGGTTAGGGAGAGGTTGGAATTTTATCTTACCTTCTCGTGTGTTCCTATTGGAGAAAGAAAGACTAGAAAATCCCCTGGAGTTCTGTGAATCAGACAATCCCAAACTTCAGGCTGGACACCGTAGAAGCCAAGGGCTGCACCCCACCACAGGACTCAGTGGTGCCCAGGACTTCACGGTGATGCTGATAACGCAGGTGTGGGGATTGTATCTACAGCGTTAGGACAACAACTGAAAAAGAGAAAGATGCTAATGGTCCGTGGTTTATTAGACTAGAACAGGCTCCTGAGTCTCACACTCCTCTGCATCTCTTCCCTGAGCCTGGGGTTTGACATGAGCTTCTAGAGATGCCTGGCCACTCTGGGGTATAGTAGGAGGCTTCAGAGTCATCATTAGTTTGAAACTATTTTGAGGAAGACCCACCTCAGCGGCCTTAGGTTATAGTCACCATTTCCTAGCCATTCATCTTGGCAAATGATTTGACCTTTGTGCCCTCAATTTCCTCATCTATAAAATGGGACAACAGGAATTAGTTACTTTCTAGACTGTAGTCCATGAACATGATGTGCAGAAAAGTGGAGGCTCATAGCAAGCAAGAGAATTAATCAGGACTCCAGCAAAAAAAAAAAAAAGGCAGTTCAGAGGGTACAAATGAGGAGGTTACAATGCAGGAACTACATACAGAGGAGTATAAAAGATGGACAGGTATTCAAAGAGGAAATCTCACCTCTGGAGGTTGGAGAGATCTGCAGCTTGGTAGGAGGACCACTCTGGAGGAAGTGGTAATCACAGAAGGGATTTTGCATCAGTGCAGGACGGTGACCCCAAAAAAGTTTGCTGACTCCTCTCTCTTCCTACTGGTGTTATTCTGGAAGGTCTCTGATTAGCTGTGGCAGAGGGCAAGAGGACCAGTTGCAGTGTGGTGGTCCAATGTGCAGGAGTCTGCCTCCCACAGGGTAGAGCCGAGAGAGAAATGCATCAAAGATGGAGCCGTGGCGAGTGGGGGTCTGGAACATAGTGCTGGACTGTGTGCAGTTGCTACTGGGTACAGATATCCACCAGTTTCATGGAAGTTTCAATTTACGCCTGTAGTGCATTTTCAATCTTAAAGGTATTCCACATCTCGGTGGATGCTTGCACCAACACGCTCAAACAGCACGTCATTTGGAGGATAAGTCACATGAGTTCTTCAGTCGTCATCAAAGTGTGGGAGACTCTGTACTGAGGTAGACTTGAATACTTTCTCCCTGCCCAGGACAGCATTCCTGGCAGTGGTTTCTCCCTTACGACAGGAAACAAGTTCGGTCATTTGGATATGACAAGCTGCAATCAATGTTTGGTCAATCGATCAGGTAGATGTTACGTGGGTGTGTCAGGTAGGGAAAGACACATCTAGCACACACCCAACAGCATGCACTCACGATGTGTTGACTTTTTTTTTTTTATTTATATCATGCAGCAGTAAATGTGTTTATTGTTGCTAAGACCCCAAGCCGCACCTCTTTCAGAAGCAATCAGCCCGTCTGGGCCAAGAGCACAGAGAGAGTCTCTTTTCCTGAAGCGCTATAGAAAAGTCTAGAAGCCTGGCGTCTCTCTGAAATGCTGTATCAAAGGCCCAGCCCAGTACACAGGGCAGCGGGTATAGGAGGCCTGCCTGTGAGAATTCTCCAAGGAGGCTGCGAGGAGCCAAGGCACACTTAAGAGGAGCCAAAGCACACTTAAGCCGGTCTCCAAAGAACCCAAGGCTCATCCCAGACTTGCTTCATCTGTTTCGCAAGCTCGCTCCACACCTCACCTGTCTTTGCGTCTGCCGGCTAGGAGGGTCTTTGAAATTTATTTTCTCCTTTTAGCCTGCTGTATTTTTAATGTCTGAGTGAAAGAACAAAGGAAGGCGAACACCAGACAAGATCGTTTCATTCCTCCATGAGCCGCGGTGGAGCCGCGCTCCCGCTCAGCTAACATCAATGTTTTAAAATTCCGTCTTTGCTAGGGAACCGGTGCTGGGGTAGTCATCCACGCCAAAGTCAGGGCCCCATTTCTGCCTTTCATTTGGGGACATAAAAGGCCCGTGCGTCAATCATCAGCAATCAGTTAACACTAGCGACTCAGAGGGGTTTTCCTGGGATGGTCAACCTCATTGGAAGAAGTTCCTGCGGCCCAGCTGGCTGCCGGCCGTGGGATCCACCCATCCTGGCTGTTTGCAGCTTTGAAAGGACTCTCTGAGTCTTCTTTCATCTCTCCCTGAGTAATAGATACCTGATAGGCTGGCTCTCCTCCTCCCCCACTGTCAGCTTCCCCACCTGCCTCCTCAGACTTCTAGCTTGAAGAATGGCTCGCACAAACACCGGCACTATTGATTGCGTGCTGTGGCATGCGGAGCTGTTAGCCATCTACCTGGATGTGCAGGCTAGAAGGTAGGGCTGGTTCGTCTACACACATCAGAGCAGGGAGGGTCGCGGAGGTCTCTGCTTGGTGTTCCCGACTGTTGAACTTAATTGGTTTGTGTTTGAAGCCGAACCAGTCAGCATGCAGAGGTTTGGCTAGTCCGTCAGAACCTGCTTTGGAAAAGGCTCCTGGGCTAGGTGCACATCTGGAAGTTCTGCAAGCCCTAGAGAGTTCTGGTCTACACTTTCCTTCCCTCCCTGCGGTTAAATACACACTGTACAGACTTTTCCATTGCGACTGCTTTTAAAGGTAGAGCTGGGAGACACCGAAGCAGATCCATGGCGTCGTACCACAGGCACCCAAGGCTTTTATCAGTCTTCCTAACTTAGATCTCTCTATGCACCATTAATCAGTAAATCTCTTTGTCTCCACCCCCACTGTTTGACCTCTGTCTGAGTTTAACTACCAACGGCATATATGTGGCTGGCTTCTTCCAGGGCACACGCCAGTGTTTATTTGTTTATTTTGTTTGTTTTCTTTACCACATTTTGCATGTCCCCTCCCCCACTTACCCATGGGTGTCCTGCTGTTTCTAGCTTTGGGCAATTGTGAATATAAACACGCGTGCACAGATAGCCCTTCAGAGTCTCTGCTCTTGATTGTCTGGGTTAGCACCGCAGAGGTGGAAGGCCAGAGCACTTGTCGGTCTTGTATTTGGAGTTTTCAGGCCCTGTCATCTTTCTTTCCACACCAGCTATCCTGCGCCATTTCTGCCCCCAGCACTCCACAGAAGGCCCAAGTTCTGTGGGGACTATCGAAGTACCAATGATGCCCCCACTTCCCCACCAGAGGAGAAGACAATGGGCACCTTAATGGGATGCTTAGCTGAACTCACCCCACAACAGCCTCTTGTATGTTATTGATGTCTAGGAGCTCAGTGGCATTTCTTTCAAAGTAGAATCTCATCGCGGTCCAGTTGGCCCTTTCCCAGCGTCCTCCACGTTCCTTCTGCTGCAGGCTGTCCTGATGTTTCCTTCCTTCAGAAGCGAAATGAGATTCCGTGGTAGGTGTGCATGCCACGTGGTGTGTCAGTTTGTCTGTCGTGGACCAGGCTTGCGTCTGCCCTCTAGACAGTGTAAGCAATGTTGCCAGCAAGGTAGGTTTACAAATATCTTCTCTGGTTCCGGTTTTCAATTCTTCTGGACCCACTGGTAGGTGGGAGTGAAGTTTCTAGATCTTGGAGTAAGTCACATTTAGTTTTTTGAGGGATCACCTTCGGATTTTTCTCCCAGGGGCCATATCGTTTAACATTCTATCAGCAGCACACAGGGCTTGTATTTATGTTACCATCCTTGCCAACAATTGCCACCATTTTGTGCTTATTTGTTTGTTATCGTTGCTGTTTTCATTGTAGTATTGACTTTGTTACTACTAAGTCATCAAATGGCCTTCGCTAAGTGAGGAAGTCACCGGTCTCTGACCAGTTTTTCTGCCTGGAAACGAGAAAGCTGTTCTCCTCTGACTGTGAATGTGTTACCAGGTACAGTGCCTTCACCTCAGCTTTCCGCTGGCTCCATCTCATTCTCTTATTGCCTTACAAAAGGAAACAATGTGTCCCTGTCCTCTCTCTCTCAAAGAGCTGCTGTGTGGCCCGACAAAGGTGTTGAGCATGCGCGCTAAGGAAGCTCCGGGGCTGGAGAACTGTGGAATGAGAAGGTGGACGGTGGCGAAACAAACCAGGCCTCTGGCCCCAAATCTGGCCGATTCCTCCTCCCGCCAATCTCTGGAGTTGGCTGTGGCAACCCTTGATTGGCTCTTAACGCCTTACACAGCTGAGCTTCTGGAGAGAATAATCCATCTAGCCAAGGCCTCGGCAGCCGCCTGCTCGATAAATATTTGTGGAATAAATAACATAGCGGAATGAGCGGAAAGATAAAGAGTAGTGAGTAGCAGACAAGCTCTCCCATTAAGTCAAGCCTTGAGAGTAAAAGAATGTTATCTCTACCACCTGCTGAATCTTCCGCTTTGTTTTATATCACCAGGAACTAATTCTTTTTCCCACTTTCTTTTTCTTTTTTTCTTTCTTTCCTTTGCAATTACTAAGGCAGCAATAAAATAGATATTCTAGAAGCAATAGCTTAAATTGCAGCCCTGCCAATGAGATAAGTAGGATTAAGGCACACGTCTGTTCCAGTTTGGAACACTGTCCACACTATCTAGTTCCAAACCCAATTTCCCCTTAGTACAGCAAATACTTTGTTTATATGTGTGATGGCTGTTCCTTTTAAAGCTAAATGTGTTTACGTTCACTGATTAGTCCATCAGACACTATGGAAAACCTACTAAACATCAGACACTATATGTTCTGGAAGTTAGAAAAGCAAATAAGTCAGGAGAGGTGGTGTCTTGCTGCGGTAACAAGCATGTTCTGAAATGTAAAACTGTGTGGATTTCTCTTTTGTCTGCTGTGTGTCCACTACTGGCCAACAGGGGGCTCTGCAACCTGATTCCTTTTTTCAGAGACTGGTGTTCAATGGATGCGTCTGTGTTTCTTCTGCAGCAGAGGGAAGGGAGGTAGTAAATCATGCGCTCATTCATTAAGCTTCCTCCTGGAAGTAATGTATCACTTTTACTTCCGTTCCATTGCCCATGCCAAATTTTAAAGGGACTTGAGAAGTAGCTACCATGTGCTGGGCAGAAGAAAGAACTGGGGTGTTTGTCCAGTGGGTGACTGATACCCTCAACTCTTTCTTTGTCCCCTGGGAGGACATGCCTAAATCACTAGCTCAATAGCACCATAATGCTCAGCAGTTGGTCTGACAAAGGAGACAGCTAGGGAATGACTAACAGCTCAGTACCATATGCCGTATGGTTGTGCTAGGCTCTGGGATGATTCATGTCCTGGTTGGGGAGGTACACGATTTCATCACACCACACAGAACAACAAGCAATTTGAAACTTAGAATATTTTTTTTTACTGGAATTTTCACTTTTGTATTCTGGGATTCTCACTTAACCACAAGTAATTGAAAAATTTGAATATAACCCTGAATAAGGGATTACTAATGTATATCCTAAGAGGGGGAAGATGGGCATCCCAAGCAATTAAAAAAAAAAAACAGTAGAAAGGCATAGGTATGGAAAAAAATGCCTTGTTCAGGCACATAGATAAGACATCCAGTTTGGTCAAGCAGGCTTTGCTTATAAGCAAGCACACTCCTGGCTGTGCACGTGTGCAGATATACTCACCACCATTGTCTTATTGGCTCCCAATCTTCTAGAACATTCTCTTCCCTGCCCCCGTCTTCTGTCCACCTGATTCCAAAGCTTCTTTGGTCCTCACTGAGTTTATCTACATGCACTGCAGGAGGTATCTAGAGCTTTGATGTGTCAGAGCAGACTGGGTCCCAAGGCTCCTGACTGTACCAACAATTAACACTTTAGATGCTAGATTCAGAGGGTCCAAACAGAGTACAGGAGAAAGTCCGAAGTGACGGCAACATGACTAAAACCCAGCACTTTGGGAGCTAAGGCAGGGGGATTGTGAGTTTGACACCAGTCTGGGCTATGTAGGGACACCCTGTCTCAAAAGAGAGGTATAAGAGAACAGAGACCAGAGCCAGGGCAGTAGCGTGCTCAAGGGATGTAGGGGATTGAATGGTAGCCACACACACACCCTTCAAGTCTACCTACAGTCTGGGAGGGGGCTGTCTCATTTGATCATTCAAAGATAAAATGATCCTGGGATTAAGGTGGGACCATGAATGTGAGGACTGGGATCTTCGGCTTCCCCACAGCCCAGAGAGAAACCGAAAGATGGGTTAGTTGAGATACTAGAGCTCTATCACCACTCAGGCCTCGTCCTCCTGTCCCTACTCAGACTTTCGTCCTCCCGTTGTCCCTACTCAGACCTTCGTCCTCCCGTTGTCCCTACTCAGACCTGCATTCCTTCCCTTTAATTTCTTGTGCAGGAAGGGACTGAGAAGCCAGTGAGAGGTGAATAGTGTGAGGGGTGTCGTTTCTCTCTCCTCATTCCCTCCCAGCCTGTCTCCTTGTCTGTGATGCCCCACTGCCTCATTTAACCATCAGAACCTTTGCCAAAACCCATACTTAGCTGCTGAAAACTCCTTGCCCGGTTGCCTCTGAAGTTAATGGCGGAGTCTTTGAAAGTGACCTTAGAAGCAAATCATAAGCAACAGAGGACATGAAACTACCTCGAGTCCATCTGTTGGAGTGCGAGCCACCTCCAAGCTTCCATCCCCATGTAAAACAGAAGATATGATTTATAATTTATAGCTCACCAGTACAGCCCTGATTGAAGCAAACCACTTTGATGAAGAGTTGGAGTGGAACACCACTCCAAATCAGAGAATATTTAGAACCCCAGCTCCTCTGCTCTGACTTTGAAGTAGAGAGATTTGTATTTTATGTGCTTCTCTGAACGAAAGAAAAAAAAAGAAAGAAAAATGTGTGTACACTCCAACACGCATGTGGTCGAAATGTGAAAACATTTACATGTGTATCAGCACCAAAATGTAATTACTGCATTAGGCACTGAAAATATTTATAGACTCGTATCTCATGTGGAAGACCTGGTTCCAATAATTCTCAGAAAATTGTGAAATTCAGACTTTGTTTTCTTGGGACTAACTTAATTTATTTGAAATTGACAACACATGAAGGACAAAAATCAAAGACCATCAACTTTCTGCCACCCGGCTAATGGTCTAATAAAGTAGTGAGTATACATTGTGTCTATATGTGTAGGAGAGCATGATCCTGGGAAAGATGGAATGAGGTGCTTTTCTCTTCATTGTAACAAAATAACTGGACAGAAGCAACTTCAGAGAGAAATCGTCTTTTGGGGGGGACTTAGGA